AATCCTGAAAACAGGATGAAATAAAAGTAAAAAACGAATTATTTAAGAATACAAAATCTAACTTTGTACATATTTTTTATATGGAGACATTTCTCTTGAAGATACCAAATTTAGCAGGATATCTGTATATCCTGCTAAATTTTGTTTTTCAACTGATGCCTGGTTACTATCATGGTTACTGGATGCTATCAATAGTCCGAAATGACATTTTCCAGAAATAACGTTAGCGCGCATTTTCATAACCTCGAAAGTAATTTTGAGAGGAAATTGTTTTTTCTTTTAAATCGTGTCTTTGCGATAAACACCCAACACATCCTGAAAGAACAACGGTTTCGTCATAATTCAGTTTTCGGTCTAATGAAAATTCGAACAACCATTATTTCGGAAAAAAAATTCGAGTTTGTGATAGCTTACCCTGAAGCCTTGTAGTTGTTAAAAACTATGAAATTTATAATTTCAATTATAATTTTCATGTTTTATTGATCTTCAATTGGTATTTTAAAATTACGAAACCGAGAAACAGGAAAGAAATTTTCGCGGGCATGGCGATAGTGGTTTTAGAAGGTTCTGTGGCGCGGTCTGGCAATCTTAATTTCTAAGTTACGTTTGTCTAGTGTTTAGTAGCTATGCCTCTCGTTAACAGTGAATGAAAACATGATGATGAAACCTTCACAACCCTTGGAAAACGTGAAAAAACAGAAACTTTAGAACTCGGAAAATTTGAGACTGGCTCCGTGGCCTACGTTTATTTCTCTCGTGAGTTTAAGTGTAATATGTGGTTGTCTATGTGTGTGTCAATGGCACCCGCGGCTCAGGGTTTCGTTAGTGCGGGGCTATGTTGAATAACACATACATATTTGTGAAGTTCCCGACCCGTATTTGCCGCCGCTAAAGGAGCATCGTGCCCAATAGTGGAATATATAAGGTTGATGGTGCTGAAGCTTTCTATCTTTAACTTCAACGATAAAATAAAAAAAATCACTGATTCGGACTCACGAGGCTTGTTCTTCGACGGAAATACCTGCCAGCTTTCTGGTCATCGGAAGCTTCAACGAGGCGAACTAAAAGCTCCTCAGCGAGGAGATTCGTCTGTGACCCATAGGGACTCAGGATATCCACCCAAAATGCCCAACGCTGTTGAACTGAGATTGGCGTATTAGAATTTTGGAGGCAACAATAGTGCCAAAGGGCTTATAGGTGACTCGCAATTAATTAAGGGGAAGCTGCAGGAGATTGAACACTACCGTAAAGTGGCCTGCTTATCAGTACTCTACAGAACATATCACGGAGAGTGTGCGATGGAATTACACGATTTACGATTACACGATTCCATCTTTCCATCAACGAGGGACTAGACATATGTACATAAGCGATAAGCTTCTACATTTATATGGCGAACGGATATGGAGTGGAATTCCGTGCTGCAGACTTATTCCCTTTGTAATCCCCTTGGACCTTTTCAAGGCGAGAGTGAATAGGCATTATTTAGGTGTGCATGCTCCATTGTTGACATCATAGTCACTTTCCACCAGGTGAGACGGAGGTCCAATGTGCACTTGTTTTATTAAAAAAATAGTACAAAAGTCATAACGTGACGTTTGTTGATATTCGTAAAATCATCAATTGTCTTATTATTACAGAAGGAAATCTTGAAATTGAAGCAGTCTCGAGGAATTTTCACAGACACAGTATGTTGCCTTGGTTTCTGGCAATTTGTTGTCGGTCGTAAATTTTTAAACCTACAGTCACAAGAGAGCCGTATACGACGTACAGGACCGAACTCAGAACTATACGGGGAGAAATCGAATCAGCTACATTGACTTACAAATAAATGGACGACGGGTCTAATACAAAAACCACGAAAAAAATGTCCCAAGTTAACCTATTTAAACGTAGTGACATGTAAAGGAATATGAAAAAGCTAAAACGTTGAATTTAAATTGTAATGTCATCGCAGTACTGTCTAAGTTTGGTTGCTTCGCTGTCAGTCGAACAAACGAAGACTAAAGCGTGAATGACGCTCTATATACGATTTTAACGCCCCATAAGTTCGGACACTTTTTAGCGCGGACCCGACGTCCATATAATTGTAAGTCAATGATCAGCTAGGTAAATTTTACTTACGACGTAGTGTAAGCGCGTTTGTGCATTGCATCCGAATCGTATTCCTTCTGAATCCAAGACTATATAAATCTAGAAAATATAGACTCACTTCGAATGTCGCTTGTGCATTAAGTCCAATTCGAATTCGAGAATATACGAATATCGCTTGTACACCTGGGAATAAAATGACCCCTTTGACATTTCGGACCGTCATTTCTCGAATTCTGAACTGGGGGGATCCGTCTGAAACAATTACTGTCAAATAAGTAATATTCGACAAAATTAAAAGACAAGTGTCCAGTATGAAGCTTCATTCGCATCACGCGTCTTTTCATTTGGTCAAGTATTGCTTATTTGGCAATAATTGTTTCGGACGGATGTCGGACCGTCGTAGACCGATACGAATACGACGTAGTGCGTAAACGCTGTAAGTGTAACGTGTGAGATAGAGTTGCATGTATTGATTCTGCCATCCCAGCTGCCTTTACATAACCAGTGGACTAGACGTTGTTCGAAGTATTTCCAAGAATCGTTACGCTGCCACATTCAAATACCGTAGGGCATTAGAACGCGATTATTTGGTAGAAAGAGTGGCAACACCAAATGGCAACATTTAACCGAAAAAAAACATCAATGTCACCAAACTGTTTGTGACCTGACACCTTGGATGGCACTTTACCACTTTGCGATAATGGAGTACGAATACGTGGCAATAAAACTGCCTGCCGGAGACTCGCTTATGTTTTGTAAGTCTAAGGTTAAGGCACTTACATTTTTCCACGTAATTTATATCGCACGCAAGGTACACAACTGTGGAATATTCAAATTCAAATTCAAATTCAAAATTCTCATTTAATCAATTAAATTAAATCGTGGTTATGCGAGCAAGATTGTCGTAAAAAGTGAAGAATTGTGAAGAACAGTGAATTTACCCTCTAGAATTTGGTAATAATGAAAATCTTTCATTCCTTGTATTATTGTTTTCTGGTCACTGACTTTTCACCGCGAAAAGTCCTTACGACGTCTCTGGCAACTTCTGGAATGGCGCCAAAACGCTCCGCAGTCAAATGAAGAATCGAAAGTTTTGCGTACGTTACATAGATTGTACTAGTAGGTAGTTTTCAATTCAATCGACTTTGCACTTTATTATCAACCTCTTAAAACTCTAAATTCTAACTTTTTACTACCGTTTTACTGTATTGAACTATAATCCAAAGGTGTTTAAATATTTAATTCTTGAATTTATATTCGTATGTATATAAATGGTTTTAAAAAATTGTGCTTTTTTTCGTATTTCAAATAATCGTACCATCAGCCACACATAAAGCTACACAAATTACATTATTAAATTGCAAATTTGACCGTTACGTAAATAACTTAAGATATAATTTCCAATTAAGAGCGTTTGCATTCAAATGTCATTTTATCTCTAGGTTGTATACAGTGCAAAACGCGCTAATAGTGTCATACAGAGTGCTCTGAAATTACGTACCCGATATTTTTAAAGCCAGTTCCACACGCGCATCTTTATAATCGCTTTGAAGTAAGTTGAATTCGCAAATAATCTGTGAAGTTTTATAAACAAGTTTAATTACCTACTTCGCCGGTTGACATCACTTTGCGTTTATAGAATATTGTTGTGATTGATAAGGAATATTTTTTGAACTGAAAGTATAAAGATGCTACAAAATTTACATCTTTAAAAAAAGAGGTTCCGAGTGTGTATGCCTTGACAAACTTAATGTTTTTTTTTTCCATTCGACTTTACGTTTGAATTACTTTATTGTATAATTATAAACTATTTGCGATAAAAAATATGATAAGCACTTAAATTTAAAGAATCTCAACGTTACGAAAATTGCCTTAAAAGAAAATTTATATACTTATTGGATATTGGTACCACAACCAAACCAATATTGTAAGGTGGGCAAACAAATGTTAAGAACCGTATTCTTCGGAATGCGGAGTGAGGCAACGTCACGTGTCCTAAATTGTTTAATTTGTATCACAATGCACTGATCGGTGAACTCAGCGGCTCACATGTGGGCTGCTTTGTTGATGGAATTTGTTTAAACAATATTAGGTATGGCGATGGCATGGTGCTGCTGGCGCCATCGGTCAGCGCACTAAGAAAGCCAATTAAAGTGTGTGAATTGTATGCAGCTTCTCATGGCCTGGTATATAATGTCAATAAGTCTGAGTATATGATCTTTACAGCCGCAGGTAAGCATAGTCTTACGTGTGAACTTCCTGTTCTACACAATGGTTCACCGTTGAAAAGGGTTAGCTACTTTATATACCTGGGACACTATGTTGCCGACGGCCACACTATAGGTGACAGCGAACATGCTCGCCCGCAGGTTCGTCAGATGTTCGGATGCAGTGAAGACAACGCTCTTTAGAACGTACTGCACACCACTGTACGCTGGCGCCTTGTGGGCAGTTTCATGGCTGTCGTCCGTAAAAAGTGGGCGTCGCTACTGAACAGAATACGTGTCAGCCTCAATAGCCTCCACTTGACAATTGGTGGAAGGATTGATTGATTGACGCCCAGTGATGCGGCAGTTACGACACAAAGTTTGTACACACTACAAACTCTCTTATAGAATTTAAGTACTAACATAGTTTTAAGGCTGTGCCTACCAACATTAATTGGATCAAGACAACTGTCTTCATGAAATAAATAAATAAAATTACGCCAGAGAGTCAAAAATTACGAAAAATGTAAGAAGATGGAACACTGGAAAGTTTAGAGACACAAAACTTTTGAATATTGCAAGATAATACATGCTTTTTAAAACAATTTTATTTCAAAAAAGAATATTTTTTTCGTAATAAAAAAAGAATTAGTATTACTATGCACAAAAAGTAAGATTTATTTAAATATCTATATACAGAATGACACCGAATTCTCCCGTGATGCGACCGCAATACCGCAGTTGGAGCAACCAGCTGTAAGATTAAATTTAGTTAACAAAACCATAAACAAAACCGATAGTTTCATATAAAAAATGTAAATATACACTGTATAAGGGAGACACCACACATCGACACGGGATTGCATTAAGCCGGTCATAAAAATATTTGTGTGAGTAAATCTATGACCTCAGTGGCCCAACGGTTTGATTGCGCGCTGGATGATGAGTAGGTCTCGGGTTCGATTCCCAGTAGGACTACGAGTAATGTTGGAAACGATCTTTTCTAAATTGGTTCTTGTGGGTGTTCTGGGAAGTGCATTCTGTTGCTCTGGTACTCGTATCCCTAGTTCGAGACCAGTAGCTCTACCACGACTTTACTGCGACTGTTGTCGCCAGCGACCGCGTAAATTACTTCACAATTATGTATGGGAGTACAGTGCCTCTAGCGGTCATAAGAAGAAACAACATTTTGTATACAAACATTTTAGGCTCACCTCACACTGACGCTGAGTCGAAGCGTCCCGTCGCGTCCTGTTTTTCAACTACATACATTAGTGCGCCCGGATCACAGTGTGGTTTGACGCCTCACTGCGCTCGACGCGCGTCGACACCCGTTTCCACATTTGCATAACACAAATTTGTACCTTAATAATGGGAAAATAGAGATGAATATACTATAGGCGAAAAACATGACGCGTCGCGACGTTTCGACTCTGTGGCAGTGTGAGTTGAGTCTTAGGCAGTCGTTAGCGATAACTGTCACTGTAATCTCATGGTAGAGGCACTTGTAATACGTGCGATTGTTTATAATAAGAGCGAAAAACACTTCGTGCGTTTTGTCTGCGGTCCGAGTCTTTTTCTGGCCGGCAAAGCTCATCCCGAGTTGATAAGTGTGGCTATACCCTAATTCGTAATAAAAAAGTCATTAGGTTACCATAGTTTTTTATTATCATGTCAATAAATATTAAACGCTTACTAGTTTAGTTAGTGTGTTGTGGACTTAAACAAAGTTTAAAGTTACGTAGTTAGTTATAGTACAAGTATTTTCATATCCATTAAAGCTGTAAAGAAGATTACTACATGGCGTTCATAAAGGCACAGTTCAACTCCTCTTCTCATTAAAATATAGAAAATTGCATGGAGGCTGACTATGTTTCCTATTAGGACAGCTTTTGTTCTGTGGCTCGAGAAGCGTCTATCTTTCTATTTGTCGGAAGTTTCTGCGAGCTGAACAATATAACTAAGAAATCACATACGTGGCTATGATAAACCACTACGGTACCTAGCACAAACACCTAGATCCGGGACAATAAAGTTAGTTTGCTTTAATTATAAAGACTCGAACAATGCGACCACGGGATTCCGACACATCGCCCTTCTAACTGAGCTACAGGTCGAGATAATCGACGAAATTCTTCTATGTGTATAATATGTAGTAAAGTTAGTTTTTCAACATTGATCCCGCCGGGGATTGAACACGGGACCTCAGAGATGGCGATACCATGAAACCAAGTGTGCAAGCTACTCGACAACGGAGGTCATCAAGATTACATAATATATTAGTCACTGTTGTTTTATTTTTCTGAGTTTATGAAGTAAAATGCTTTATGTAGTTTTTATATATACATGTGCCGCATTTGTTCCGTTTTTGGCATCACTGATCAATAAACACGTTGGCAGTAATGTCGATGGTTTTATAAAGAAAATGTAAATAGTAATAACATCATTATATTATCAGATTATATATAAGGTTATCTTTTTTATATGCGCAGAATGATACCGAATACTCCCGCGAGGCGACCGCCGTCCCACAGCTGGAAAAGCCTTTTGTAAGGAAGTAAATACGGAACAAACTGGCATTAGATTCATAATCAGACATTTGAAATATTATAGCGTACTGTCCAATGATCTTGTACGCTATATAAGATCATTGGTACTGTCATAGTGTAATTATGTACCAGTGGATTAGAATTAACAGATACATTTACAGAGGGCGCTTCTCACAAGGCGACATAAAGTTCTCACGAGATCACACATGATTGTCGCACTGGCGCAGAATCACATACTGTGTTTTTTTTTTGTTTAAATGGGACAGTATGGTGAAATCCGAAAGGATAGAAGATACATAGAAACTGTGTTAGGAACCATTACTAAGTCTTTTTATGGAAACAATTTTAGCATAGTAATTTTTTTGGTCAAGCGTGAGTTGTCCATAAAAATGAAAAAAAACTAAACAAATCGGGACAACAGAAGTTGGTTAAATTGTTTTGACAAAAAAAGACTTAATTGTACCTTAGATAGTTTCCTTGCATGTTCTTTGGTTTCGGATTTCCCCATACTGTCCCATTTAAAATAAAACGCTGTATAATAAGATAACAAGGGCTATTCCCGCCTGTTCGGCGCGTAATTGCCTGTTTTTCACTAGGAGCGTTGGGTTGTTACATTGTTATTTTAGTTATACACTAATTTGAAAAAAAAATCTTATATTGTGACGAACGCATATTATCTTAGGTTTCAGATGAAAACCAGAGCTGAAGCTCTGCCCAGCTTAAAGCTGAGCTTTGTAACCTTTTCGGCTAATGTCGTGTACTTTAGTTTTTAATCTATTAGGTATCTTATTTTTTTTGTTCTTTTAATAGATCTTGCGTTAGTTATTATATTCTAATATTATTTGTGAACAGCCGAATAAATGTTTCTTTTTTTCTTCTTTCTTTCTTTCTTTCTATATATTACATTGACTTACAATTATATGGACGTCGGGTCCGCGCTAAAAAGTGTCCGCACTTCTAAGGCGCTAAAATCGTATACAGAGCGCCAAACTCCGCTTTAGTCTTCATTTGTTCTACTGACAGCGCGATACTGCGATGACATTACAATTTAAATTTCGAATAGGTTGACTTGGGACATTTTTTTAGTGGTTTTTGTATTAGACCCGTCGTCCATTTATTTGTAAGTCAATGATATATTATTATTATTGGAATAATCTTTGTTGTGCAGTATGTACTGATATTTCTATACCAACATCGTGGATTGGTATCCCGTTTATGGGAGTATGATTATAAAATAGAAATGAATAGCTGAACAATTCTGAATTTGATGCAATCATGTCAAACTACCACAAACAAGAATAAACACGTCTCCTTTTTGATGTCATGTTTTTAAATACTGAGCGAATGTTTTAATTCTTTGTGTAGGTACAAGAAAATGGAGGAAAGAAGATTTAATGTTAAATACCTTAAGTTTATCTTAGAACTAGAGAAATGGTATATAAACATTTAACGCTCTAATATTTCCAATGTCTGCATCGAACATTGCATTTAACTGTAAATATTATCATCTTGTAAACGTATTTCAACCCCATTAGGCCGCCATGTTATTTTTATTTATATCGCCAAGATGTTTTTTTCTACCATGATATTTTTTGTGAAAACACTGCAGTAGCATGTTTATTATTATTGATAAAAACGTCGAACAACATAAAGAAAAATTCCTTCGATCTGAATTTGAACCAACGTCTGTTGTCACAGCTCTTCAATGGCGCTACAGGCTAAATTCGATGTATCAATAATAATACATAAATACAAGATGACAAATTACATTCTACTGGGCATGCTTTGTTATTTTTTATTGTGCTAATTTTAACCTAAACAATTTTTTTATAAAAAACCGACTTCAAAAATTTCTGGAAGTGAAACACATAGAGAGCGGGTGCGGGTCGTGCGCGGGTCGGGTCCGGATCGCGGCGCGTCTTTATATGGACGACAACACACCGAGCGTGGGCTCGAGACGGGCGCACGGAATTAGATGCGCCCGACCCGAAACGTGCACGACCCGCACCCGCTCTCTGTGTGTTTCACACTTTATTGAAATTAACGGAAAGGTAAATAGAGCCCCTTTCTAACAAAAAAAGAATAAATGTCGGAGAAAACAAAAAAATACAGTCGAATTGAAAACCTCCTCCTTTTTTTGAAGTCGGTTAAAAAGTGTATTTTATTATAAAACAATAATTTTAAAGCACCATGTCTCTATTACCCAGTAATTGCATGCTTTTAACAAACAATATCACATTCTCAACTATTTAGTGTTAAAGTGTAAAAAAACCTTGCTTCAACACAACCTGTAGTTATTTTACAGAACGCCATTGTTACATAAGGCATGCCATTATGTCCAGGGTTATAAAAATCATCCGTTAGGTTATTGAGGCTAGCCCAAAATGGTTAAGCTTCCAAAACATGTCGCCGAAATAAAAATAGAAAAGAGAAATAGAGAATGTTCAAATGTGTCCGAGTTTCCTAAAAAGGACATTCATAATAAAATATAGAAGAGTCATTAGTAAATTTTCCGTTAATTGAGATATATTTATTTTTACAGTTTTTGAAGTATATTTCTCGTTAGAACAAAATTTAACAGTCTATGTGGCCGAACGATTACCATGCTGGTTTGTCACGCATAGGACCTGGGTTCGATTGGCTGGGAGAAATATTTGTATGGCCTACATTTATTCTTCGCGTGAGTTTGGGTGTAATTTGTGGTTGTCTGTGGTGTCCACGGCACCCGCGATACAGGGTTTACCTGGTGCTGGTGCAAAATAGCGCAAGAAGAGCCAAATCATAGACGCTAACCAAAAACAATATAGTTCACCTTTTTGTTATTTTTACAGACTTTTAGATATTAAATCAAATCTGTATGTAACACACCTCATAGATTTATGTTGTTTTGGTTAAAGGAGTTGATTCTTTCAGTGCTTGTTTAGACTGATTTTGTTCTAAAGACAAAAATATATTTAAAAAACTGCAAATTTATTATTTCTAACAACAATTTTTGTACCTAGACTCTTCCTGCTCAAATTCATTCAACAGTTTTATCATTCATAAATATTTTTCAAAAATCCGTCTTTGATTCCTGTATCCTATTTTCATATTGGTTTCCAGGAGGACCTGGAGAGCAAGCCCGTGCTGCCGGGCGAGAAGGAGATCGACTTGAACAAGATCTTTACGCCAGCACCTGATGCTGAAGAGCATCTCATAAAGAAAGATCGCAAGTTTGGTAAGTTTGAAATTACAATTGTTAGAAGTAATATTTCATCATTATGTGTACATTAAGATCATTGATGGTTTTTATTTTAATAAAACGGATTATTTTACATGACGTTATAAATACAGCTACTAATTTTTTATATTATATCCATAATATTAACATTAGAACTAAGTCCAAACTCATGGTACATCGATTTCGTTTAACTAAGATAAATAACTCTTTTATGGGGATCCGTATACGTTTTAATCTTAGGAGGAGCATATATTAGGGGTTAAAGTATGAAATTGCCGTTTTATTGCAATAGGTTCTTTGAATTTTCACAGAATCTTCATGGTTTGAGGTTTTCGAATGAAACTTTTTTCAAATGGTTTCTGTGATTGTTTTTTTTTTTAAATTTGAAACATTTGAATATCGACTTTCAATTGTTTTTGTTATTCAATTTAGACAAGAAAGATGGATACTGAGAAAATTCGAGTGATTTTTGAATACGAGTTCCGACGCGGAACTAACGCGGCAGAAACAGCCCGCAATATCAATGCTGCGTTTGGAGAGGGGTCTACTAATGAACGCACCGTGCGATTTTGGTTTAAACGCTTTCGTGATGGAAATTTCGACTTAAAGAACGAGCCACGAGGAAGACCGCCCACACAGGTGAATAACGATGAATTAAGAGAGATAGTGGAAGCCGATCCTAGTCAAACTACCCAGGAATTAGCGGCATGGTTTAACGTTACCTTACCCACAATATTGACTCAATTGCGTCAAATCAATAAAATAAAAAAATACGAAAAATGGGTGCCTCATGATTTGACTGATCTGCAGAAAGAAACGCGTGTTGATACTTGTGTTGCCTTGTTGAACCGGTACAGAAATGAAGGAATATTGGATCGAATTGTAACATGTGATGAAAAGTGGATTCTTTATGATAACCGGAAAAGAAAAATGCAATGGCTGACCCCAGGTCAAATGCCACAACAGTGTCCTAAAGCAAAACTTACCAATAAAAAGGTAATGGTAACTGTTTGGTGGTCTCAGCATGGTGTTATTCACTATAGTTTTCTCCGATCTGGTCAAGCAATAACGACAGATGTCTATTGTGCCGAACTCCGAACCATGTTGACAAAACTAGCAGTAAAACAGCCCCGACTCATGAATCGATCTTCACCATTATTGCTCCACGACAACGCGAGACCTCACACAGCACGAGAAACCATTTTGACCCTTCAGGAACTGCAGTTAGAAACCATTCGTCATCCTCCGTATTCACCAGACCTTGCTCCAACGGACTACCATTTTTTTCGTGATTTGGACAATTATCTACGTGACAAGAAGTTTTCTTCCCAGGAGGCAGTACAAAATGCTTTCACACAGTTTGTGCAGTCTAGATCGTCGGAGTTCTATCGCAAAGGCATTAATAACCTTCCCATTAGATGGCAGCAATGTATAGATAATAATGGCAACTATTTTGATTAAATAAATTTGTTAAAAATTTAAAAAATAAACAATTTAGATTTTCAGTACAAATCGGTAATTTCATACTTTAACCCCTATTATTAAAAATATCATTTTCTAGGTTTAAAAAAGTATTTTGATTGAAAAGTCATATTACAAAATTATAGACTACGACGAATACAACGTGATCTAGATTCTACACAAATATGATTCAAAATGTATTCTGTAGCATTTAAGTTTATTTGAAAAGAGCAATCCCTAGAGTTTTTTGCTCGTTCTTCTCGGGGAAGTCGGCACTGTGAACGAGCAGTAACTTAAAAACATGACATTTTAAAGTGCAAGAATTTTACTTATGGAAAAAATGATTATTTTTGTCTTTGACTTTTTTTTTCAAACAAAGCAACGTTTCTTATGACTACGGCTGACTGATATGGGAAAATAATCAACCAGTAATGTTAATATTAATGCAAACCTCCCTAATCTGAACCATAGTTACAAAAATAATTGATTCTAATATGAAAGATTTATCACCCAGTTAGTACCTTTATAGCTACCAGTTCTGGCGAGAGATGTCGCTATTCACTGTATTAATTAAATTTTTATTGAATTGATATTCAATTTTTTTTTGTGAAATACTCCACTAATTTGTTATAATTATTAATACAAAGATCGAACACTCAGAAAAAATTCCTCCGATCCGATCCGATCCGATCTTTCATAGATTTCTCATAGATGGCGCTACGACTAAAAAGCCGTTGAAAAACGGCACGGTATGCAAGAAGACGTCGGTTCGAATCCGACCGGATCGAAGGAATTTTTTCTGAGTGTTCGATCTTTGTATTAATAATTATAATCTAATTACCTTATTTTTGTATTTTACCAAAAACACAATGGAATGCATTCTTTACTAAATAAAACATTAAGGAAATACTATAAATTTAATACTAATGTCACTTGGGACATTTTATCAGCAGGGTAATATGTGGTAGCTAAGATTCAAGTAGTAATGCGAGCATCACTGCGTTCCAGTTTTCAAGGGTGGAATTACAGACACACTTACTGGCATACAGGAACTTGTCAATTTACGTCTCGGGGTGACGGGCGCAATGGCAGTGCCTATCAGATCTTTACAATTTATAGTTCTGAGTTGCACTTGCAACTGCTGTATACGTCCGACACTTGGTATCGTAAACAACACAGCTGTGAGCCTCGAATATCGCTTGTACGCCTAGAGATAAAATTATTCCTGTGACATTTCGGACCATAATTTCTCAAATTCGGAACTGATACGAATTGGAAAGAGTGCGTAAAGGCTCCGGGTGGTTAATTTTCCCGCTCACTGGATTCGTGGAGTTGCAAAGTAATTTACTCCATTTTTACAACTACTACTGTTTTAAAACTAATTTCATGCACAAAAGTATCTATGTAATGGCGTCAAAAACTTACAATAATTTACCGAAAGTATTGAGATCTGAAAAACCTTATATTATTTAAAAAACAATTAAACAACTAATTGACTAATAAAATTTACTATAAAGTGTTCGAATTTTTAACCGACTTCAAAAAAGGAGGAGGTTCTCAATTCGACTGTGTGTTCTTTTTTTTTGTGTGTATGTTACGCGATAACTCCGGTATTTGTGAACCGATTTTCATGATTCTTTTTTTTGTTAGAAAGGGGGTACTTCCATAGTGGTCCCATTTCATTTTGAAGAAAATCATCCACCTCGGAGGGTGGCTGTTCAGGCATGAAGATTCATTTTTATAAATAGCGCCTAACTTTAATTTAGGAGCAATTACTTTAATGGTTGATTTTGCTATTTCTCCAATTCAAGGCGTTTTTCTCTCAATATATTTTGTGTAGTGAGCACGTATTTTTATTATCTCCAGTGTCAAGTCCTGTATAGGGGCGAATTAGGGGATATTTCAATAAAACTTAGCAAATAGACGTAATTCCACGTACTGTTGAGGTCGGTTTTTTTAGTCTGTACTGAGATTATTAAATAACAAATCCCTAACTTCATTATCAGGTTTTTGATATTTATATTTCTTTTTTGACGTTACTAGTTTTATTATTTTGACTTTTATTAGATTAAAAATATTTTAATTGAAATTGACTCATATAACTATCATTGCGCCTAAACTGCTGACCGACTTAGTAAATCCATGTGTGCACGCTCATGTGATATTAGAAAAAAATAACATGTTATATCAGGTTTAGTCTGTTAAAGTGCATGCGAATAAATGTATAATTAATAACACTTTCAATACGTATGTATGCCTAATGTTTGGCCGGACACAGTGGAACGCTACTTATTTTGTACATGTCAACTTTCAAATAACTCGTGTTTGCACAAATAAATGAATTATGAATTTAATTCCAGAGAAGACATTCGCGTCATCGGCATTCTACGTGCCCGGAGTGCACCCAACGGTCAAGGAGCAAATGGACTTAGCGCGAGCCATCTCTAAGTCCCTCAGTGACTCCAGCAACCACATGAGCAAGGGTCAAAACATGTTCGTGAAGAGGAAGAAACGGTCCGTCAAATGGGTGCATGAAGGACAAGGTAAATGGAGAAATTCATACAGATTCTGGTTTCAGACCGTTTTGATGTAAGAAGTAGGTTTTCTCGTCACTTATAACCGCAATTGAAGCCGCGGTAGTCTAATAGTTTGATCTACCGTCTCTAAAGCAGAGGCCGTGGGTTAGAATCCGGACTCGCATATATGACTTTTCCGGAATTTAATTTAATTTGAAATTAATCTTAAACCACGTTGCACGTCGAAGAAGGGTCACAATCCTTTGAAAACGTGAGAAGTCGCCAACCCGCATTGGGCCAGTGTTGCGATGGCGGACTATTGCCTAAACAGTTGACTGTTGACTAGGAATTAGTAGAGGCGAAGCTTGAACACCGCCGTAAAGTTGCCTTCTAACCGGTATATTACAGGATATATCGCGGAGAGTGTGCGATGAAATTACACGATTTAACTCCGCCTTCCCCTTTCCATCACCGGGGGACTAGGCGTAGGCTTGGGTTCCACCCCTATGTTGTGGATATTCCAAAGATTCGCATAAAGCGTTTCCACATTTATATTAATTTATATTTATACGGCTATGGAGTGGAATTCCCTGCCTGCAGACTTGTTCCCTAAACGTAACTTGGACCTTTTGAAGACGAGAGTGAATAGGCATTATTTAGGCGTGCATGCTTCATCGTCGACATCATCGTCACTTTCCATCAGGTGAGATGGAGGTCAAATGCACAGTTACATTTAAAAAAAAAGAAAACGCTCGCCTGAAAGGAGTGCCCCGTATCTTCGACGTGTGTTTTGATTATAGTGAACCTCTTTCAACTTCTTGGTTATGCTGGAAGGGCACTATAAGCTGTGCTTGTACAGGGACCTTCGAAAATCAGCTCGTGTTCAGGGTTGTCACAGATCGTAGCAGTGGTACGTAAAATAGGTTGATGATGATGAACATAACCGTAAGATAGAATCATCCCGAAATTCAGGTGTAGCAAAAAGTAATTTACTAGACTCCCAAGAAATCTACGATCAACCTTTGATATGTTGCAACTGCGTCATGCAAGACTGACAAACGCAGGCTGATGCTCATAAATCTAAAATATCTAATAATAATCATGTCTGACAGGAATGTCTGTTCGCAACTCTGGCTCTGAACCAAGCTGTCAATGCGATAATTGTGGCGGACAGAAATTTACGATGCTTTATTAATTAAACTTGTAAAACATATTGACACTCTTAGAATAATAACGCATAGAACGATAGTTTCATATCAAACGAACTGTCACAAGTGAGGCAAAAATCAAATTCATGTAGGCTAGTTTTAGTAGTAGGTTAATTTTCGGTTTTAGTGAATATTTATATGAAAATACAAGTTGAAACGCGTTACTTCCTTGTGGAATGTGATGTTAGTATCTATTTTATGTTTGTCTGACGTATTTTTACACTCATTTACTGCACATTTCGTCATTTTTAGCTAAAATTCTTGATCTATTCGCGATGCAAGTTGACCTTGAGCACTGAAGGCCCGCCCGCTCGTGTAGGCCCATTGGGCGCGCTTCCATTTGCCTCACTTAGCGTGTGCGGACTAGGTTTCTATGCGTTATTATTCTAAGGATACACACTGACAACTTACACGGTGTGAAAATACGATTCTTAAAAATTTTCACGCTACAAAAAAACACAAACTTAACCTCGAAATATTGTCAAAAAAATTGTTATGTTGTGATCAACCGTACCGCAAGAGAAAAGTAGATATTTTTTAAATTATCTTTTAACATTATTTTCTCGGTTTCGAGTTTTTGTCACAACTAACGGCAGCAATATTGTAATCATGTTATGTACATTTTCAAAAATTACCCTGGTAAAGTAGAGCGACATGATAAACATAAATATTATCAAACATAAGAAACATAAACATAAGAAACTTATGTCAACATATGGGACAGATTAGCTTTCAATAACACCTCCCCTAATGGCAACTTCGTATTCGAGTTCCGCTTTTTGGAGTGAAGGAAACTAGATCGGAAAGTTTGATTTTGTCGTTATACGACACGAGTGCGGCGTCAGTGTGGCCGCCACTGATCGCCTCACCTGCCCGGTGCTGCCACCCATTTGTGCGGCGACGTAGCGGAGTTTCTCTGGCTTCTTGCTTTTACAATGCGGCCACCTATTTTTCGCGTCGCCACCGCGTCGCTGTCGCGGTCAGTGTCTGCGGCCCCGGCCTAAAGGTAGACGATTAGAGACTGCTTCGCTACCGCATCTCGTTTGTAACCGCTCTAATAGTAACTAAGACCACCACAGTGCAAATGAACTCGTATAGTAATAAAAAAAAGAGCCACTGGTAAAATGTAACATGTAAACACTTATGTAAACATCCATAAATTCAATAATAAAATCATATTACAATTCATACAACGACATCTCTTGTCAACTTCTGGTAGCTGTTGCATGAATAAAAACTTTCGTAGTTTCTCACAGGTGGCGCTACGGTAAAAAACCGTTAAAACCAAAATACAAGATCTGTGATAAACGAATAGAGAAATTCATGCGGTTGACTCGATCTGTTCGAATTTTTCTTTGTGTTCGATAATTATAACAAAATTATGTCTCTACAGTTTAAAGGTTTAGGTAAATAAATAAAAGTAAACAAACGTCAGCTGTCACTCGGTTAACTTAGAGTTTCATACGTCGTATTCTATCACTATTGTACTTTGTAATTTGTTCGCAAGTTATTATTATATATATTGTCTTATTTTATTGTACTAACACTTAGCTTTCGTAAGAGTTTTTCAATTTGTTACTAACACTTTTGTATGGACCACCTAAGTCTGAAATAAAATTATTTTATTTTTATTTTTTTATTTTATTGTCATCTTTTTAGAGGCTGGATTTTAGGTTGTTTATCTTAGGAAAGTTGTGACACGTGTTATTAAACATCTTTATGTAAATATTATATTTACATTATATATTTAGTACTATTTTAAATAGGTACTTCTAAATGTTGTATATTATCTGAACATATCACCATATACTCAGAAAGATTTTTAAAAAGTGCATTGTAATTTTACAATAAATAAACAGGTAATGCCTCATAAAATACTTCATTACAGTTTGATTACATAATGTTAGTTACCAAAACCTGTGTAGTATAGTTTAAAATAAAAATTGGACTATTAAATTAAATACAAACTCACCTATGCCTTAAAGTAAATGTATGTATTCTTCTTTAATTCCAGGACGGAATATATCCAACAACTGTTCAACGCCGACCCCAGTGGCAGTTCATGACACGCCGTACCGTCCGCCATCCAGCCTTCGCAACCAGAAAACCTATCCAAAATCAGCACTCAAGCATAGCCCTAACTATATTCCCAGAATGGAGCCCTTCCCACTATCGCCTCCTACCATTTCCTTATCTAACTTAGAAATACCGGTACCACTTGCTCCTACAAAACTGAATGATGTCTACGCTGCCCCTGTTAGTCCGCGGCTGCCGCTAGTAAATGGACCGAATTTCAACGTGGCGCCCCGAGGTTGGGGTGAGATGAAGGCTTACTACCGACCGGTGTCCCTAGATGGCGTTGGCAAAGTCCCGGTGTCATTTACCGACTATTAAATTCGTTATTTTTAAATTTTATAAGATTTGTTTCGAAATAATTTATTTTTTAAATAACGGATCATTATTTTAAGTATAAAATTGTAATTTTGAGTTGTTCATTGATGTTATGATAAATAAAAAATGTAACTAACGAAAAAAAATGAAATTGACGAACAACTTAAAAATAAATTTAAGGATAGGCTTTTTGTAATAAAATTGTAATTAGTTTTAATTTATTTGTAAGTCAATGGTTTTAAATGTTATACTTTACCCTATGACAACTAATGTGGTGTTGGGTCAAAAAATCATACTTTTCAAAATGGAAATTTTTATTTTTCAGGAATACATTTTTTTTAATACTTTTTCGCATTTGACAGTGAAACCTGTTAAAAAAATTAAAAATAACGGAAGTCTAATATGAGAATTTGTGAAAATAAGCCAAGCAGGGTTTAGAAAATTACATTTAGCAATGTTTATACAATAATACATAAAGTAAACAAAACATTAAACGTAGAACACAATATGTGTATTCAAATTATATTTTTCCAATTTTTTTCTGGAAAATACCCAACACTAATCTAGTGCGATGTTCAAAATTGAAAATTAACATAATATAATGTGTTTTTTTATTCTCTTTTTGTCGAAAATTACTTGAAATTAACGAGTCTTAAATTTATAAAAAAAATTATTTAGGATTGACCACAAATTCACAATAAAATTTTCGATAACTCTCACGTAAGTTGTTGTAAGTCAAATACCATTTCGTGCTTTTTAATTTACATAAATATATTATACTTTTTAATTTATAAGTATTATAGGTTCCATGTTAGGAAGTAAACATAACACTAAGTGATTTCTTTACTTTCAAATATGGAACCTATAATATGCATAAAAAAAGTATATATTTGACTTAAAAAGTAAAAAATTGTATTTTGACTTACAACAACTTACGTGGAAGGTATCGATTTTAGGTTACATATTTTTAGTAAACATTTTGCTATACAGGGCTTGTAAACTACTAAAAAACCTCACAGGACTATATTACTAACATCACAAACAACAACTTTTGTTATATTATAATTATTATTATTCATCAGATTTTACTTTCATATAAAAGTAAATATCTATGTTTAAATAGATCGCTCTAAAATAAAAATAAAAACTTAGAAATGGTATGGTCAAGGAGAATGCTTGCAAGTTGAACTTGAACTTAGGTACTACTTTAATACAGAACTAAAAAGTGTCATACTGTCGTGTGTATACTTATTATGTTTTGTAATGAAATTTAAAAAAGGTTTTTTTTTATTAAAAAAAACCAAATTCAAAAGTTTGCGGAATTACATCTATTTGCCAAGTTTTATTGAAATCGGTCGGTCAGATTCATCCCCTAGTTTGCCACCCTTAGAGGTGGAATATTTTCTCATATTTAAATGGGACCATTACTGAGGTACGCTCTTTCCAACAAAAAATCATCATCGAAATGGGTTTACAATTGCAAATGAGTAACCGTGAATTGAGAACCTCCTCCTTACTTGAAGTCTGTCATAAGGTCATTGAACTAAAGTCGTAGTTTAGGACGTTAGTAATATGGTCCTGCGAAGTTGTTGTACTTTACAAACAACCCTGTATTGTATTTATTTTTACACATGTCCACGAATTAATAATTTAGTTAGTAAACCAGTCATATTTATTTATATGTTTTATATTCTATTTGTTGTAAAATGTTAATAATATTTTATATTTGTTTAGGGATAAGGAAGAAAATACTCAGTATATTTATTTCGGTTTTAGTGGTGAATTAGAGAAAAAGATAGATTGTGTTTTAATTTTCTGCATCCACTAGGGCGGACTTAAAGTGTATGAAAATTGACAAGTTAGAACTTTGTTCGCAAGGATGCACAAGTATATTTCGTTCCTCTCCTGACTAAGTGTCATAACTAGAATTTGGCATTTTTTTCGGTACAATATATTTAGCACTACACATTTTGAGTTGTAGCTCGTGTCTAACTTTTCGTATTAATATCTCAAATTTATATATAATCAAATTAAATTATATCTTAGTTATTTATGAACTTTGATCCTGTCTGTTTTTTAACTTTAGTTTATCATGTTATGCACCGCCTGTTAATTATTATGAATAGAGCTCTCCAGTCGACTGGTAGAGAATGCCTAACGGTATCAAGTCCGCCACTCATATATTTGCTTATTATATAATATTCGCATACGAAACTTCTTTTTATATATTTATAAAGATTTTATTTTTATAGATACGCCACTCTTAAATCGACGATGCCAAAGCATTATGCGTTGCGTCATTGTTGCGATGCGTCTGAGCGATGCGTAAGTACTACAATATGAATTAGAACTACATGCCATTATGGCGCGTTGAAACAGCGTATGGCAACGGAACATGTGCGCATCTGACAAGCAGCCAGGAGACCACAGGAGTCGTGCCCGTGTGGCATCACTCTTAGTTAAGTTATATACATATGTATGATACAGCACGTGTTTCCAATTTGTCACCTCAATATATCACTTTTAACACTCCATTATCACGTGACTTATAAAAGTTGGGTAAGACCAGATCGTACGCCATCTTAGTTAAGGCAATGTCAAACAACGGTAGTTAGACAGGAGAGGAGCAATTTAACCAAAGCATTTTTATCGAATGTGTCTCAAAATTTTATAAGAAAGTAAATGATTTTTTAGAATATTGGTAACAGTTTATAAATTGTGTAAATCACTTTTTGTACGTAATTAGTGAGTTAATTTTTTTTTAGGAAAGCTATTTATTTAATGTGACAGTGTTTTGTACGCGAGAATAAATAAAATAAGAAATTTGCTGTTATGCCTTTTTCATTACCACCTCGGAGCGCACGGTGAAAAATACCAGGTAATCTTGTAAGGCTTAATTTACATTGCGGCGGAACGGAATGGAAAGCGACGTCTCGCGCATGCTCCAGAAAGATTTTGGCTCGTATCTAGTTTGTACGTTACGCATTGACCATAAAGTTCATTATGCTATGTATAATATCGTTCCAAAAATTAGCTTCCATTCCGTTCCGCCGTAATATAAATTGAACCTTAGTCGGTCTTAAGCCAAAGAGAGACAAGGACTTTGGTTTCAACGTGAATTCAACTCCGAAATGAAATGCTGTAAAGTATAATATAGTTTATTAATATAAAGATTTCAAGTGTTTTTTTGGTTACTTATGGTAAGCAAATTACACTTGCAATCGTCATATTGATTAAACTCTACTGCTCATTTGTAAATACAATACAATACATTTATATTTTACAACATTGACTTACAAATAAATGGACGACGGGTCTAATACAAAAACCACGAAAAAAATGTCCCAAGTCAACCTATTTAAACGTAGTGACATGTAAAGGAATATGAAAAAGCTAAAACGTTGAATTTAAATTGTAATGTCATCGCAGTACTGTCTAATTTTGCTTGCTTCGCTGTCAGTCGAACAAACGAAGACTAAAGCGTGAATGACGCTCTGTATACGATTTTAACGCCCTATAAGTTCGGACACTTTTTAGCGCGGACCCGACGTCCATATAATTGTAAGTCAATGTTTTACAAGAACTAAACAGGTCACTACGCAGAAGTTTTGGGATACAAATGACACCTAGATCAGAAATTGGACATAGTTATGCAAACTAGACCCATCCCACAAAATGTCACTGTCGAGATATTTAGATTTTTGTAAAAACAGTCTGAAGAAATAAATAGATAATTTATTTGAGACAAAGAACGTGAGTTATGTGTAGCATTGAGAATGATATAGGGAAACTATTATATTATATAGCAATAAATAGAAAACATTATGTATCTTGGTTAACGAGAACCATGTTCTAGTTTTCGCAATGAAAACACTAAAGATCTACAGTACTTCAGTACTGTAGATGTGACATGGATCCATTTAGTATATTTAAAAAAATACATTGTATAAAGTTAAGCAGCAAAGTACTTTTTAGCTGTTAAAAGAAGGACTTTTTTTCTCCGTTTTGGCTTGGTATATTGCCAGGATCTTTTGTAAGCGGGTAATGGACACGTCTGGTGTTCTAGCTAAATACATAACTCAATTTCGCTCGAGGTGTTGTTGGTTCTTGTTTGCAAAACTATGTCCAATTTAGAGAAGTTTGATCTTATTGGGAATCGAACCCTACTGATTGAGCTCATAGCGCTAACCATTGGGCAACTGAGGTCTTCTTATAATAACAGCATGTTGTTGTGCAATCGATTTCCACGTGATGCCGTGATAATATTTCTACGATGCAATAGCTTACGCCACGCGTCTGGTTTTGCCCTTGGTTTTTAAACCTTTCTCCGTCGTTATTTTTGATCGCGATTATATAAGGAGGACTGACACTGAACTATTTAAATTGTCAAAAAATAAAAATCAAATCTGGATCCTCTGCTTGCGAGACGATAGGTCAAAGGACGAAAGGTCCTTAAGGCTGACACGGTGTTAAATTGTGATACAAATAAAAACACTGCTTATACTTCTATATAATATTTACTTATTAAACTTTACCAAATAAGTTTATGTACTAGAAATATATAGTAACAATTATTTATCAAGCTTTAAATAATTGAAATAGTGTTATAGAGTCCATTTCACATAGCAAGGGTACGGTGACGTTTGAGATTTAAAGTTTCTAGAGATGTACCGATGTAACGTTGAATGAAAATGAAAATCGATTTAAATATCCTATTAGGTTTATTTATAACGAAGAGAGAATCGATTTAGAAGTCTCTAAATCGATTTAGGCGACTTTGTTTATTATTTGTCTTACAACTTAACATAATAAAACGGCCTTAATTTATTATGTTACTAAAAAACTACACAACAATCAAGAAAATTAACAACAACCAAACATAAAATCAACAAAAACAGCAACGAAACGCTTGAACAATTACTCCAAAAACGACTCGCATACAAGATGCACACGTATTGACAAGAGGTACAGAATAACCGATTTGATTTATCGATTCTATGGTGTAAATCTCTACGGATAAATATTCTGTTCAACGCATCAAGTAGTTGGGGTGATTTATTTTTATCTTTATCATTTCAATTTTTATTGAATTGATATTAAATAATTTTTTATGTAAAATTACTCCAGTAGTTTGTTATAATTATTAATACAAAGATCGAACAGTCAGAAAAATATCTTTCGATCCGGCCGGATTCGAACCGACGTCTTCTAGCATACCGTACCA